TTAATGGTTTAAATGAGAACATTGCTGAAACTTGAAAAAGTAAGAATTCATTTTCTTCGTATATCCATCAAAAACGTCGTTTTTCACATTTTTAGCTTAGAAATGCCCCTTGTACTACAGTTTTCATCCGATTTCAACTTTTTTTTTTTAATGTTTGCTATACTCCAACGAACAAACCCAAGTATCCGTTTTGCTTTATATTTATCAGATAATGAGAAAATGATTTTTTTAGTTTCTATTTTTTTTCCTCTTTTTAGCAAATGCTAAAACTAGTTGTTTTTCGTTATTCCGTTTGTAATCATATGTAATTGAAATATTATAACAAAAAAAAAATGGGGGGAAAACAACGAATTTTAGCATTTGCTAAAAAGAGGGAAAAAAATAAAAAGTAAAAAAAACATTTTCTCATCATCTAATAAATGTAAAGTAAAACGGATACGTGGGTTTTTTCGTTGGAGTATAACGAACATCAAAAAAAAAAAAAAAGTTGTAATCGGATGAAAACTGTGCTCCAAGGAGCCTTTTTAAGCTAAAAACGTGAAAAATGAAGTTTTTGATGGATATACGGGGCAAAATGGTTCGAGTCCGAAATTTTTCTCACTTTTTTATATATCCCTTCATATATCAAAAGTCATCCAATGGCTGTTGAGGCCGAGTCGAGACTTTCAAATTTCACCGCGGTCTCCCCTTAAAAAATTTTTTTCTGAATTGTGACGTAATGAGTTTATTTGTCCTTTAATAATCTCATGTTTTACTCCGACCTCGGCTAGTCTCGGTGAGCTCACGGGTGGTTCGCTCAATCGGAGGGATAAGTGAAGGATAGAGGAAGGGTTAACAATATTAAACCGACCGTACTGATGTTGGTAAAATAACTATATATTAACTTTAATTTATACACGGTAGTGTTTAATGGGTCGGTATAACGCGGTTCTTGACTCGACTTTGGGACCTTGACTCGACTTTGTTATTGGTTGGCTGAAGGCCTGAGCTCAGAGATCCGCTCTGTTTCGCTCCTGATCGTACTCCGCCGTACTCTGGTGCTTCCCGAGTCGTCCAAACTCGTCAAAGTCCCAAAATGCTTACCTAAGCAATCCCACGGTTTTCTTCACTAATACGGTTTCGTGCATTCGTTTGTATAGAAACCTACACAGTCAAACAGTTCAGCACCCTGAACTGGACCTGTAGAAACCGTGGAACTGCTTACGCTGGTGTCCATGGGACACCGTGGGACTGCTGAGCAATCTTTGGATGAAGGGAATGAGAAACCTCGTTTCCCGTTCCCATCGTCCACCACTTTGGGTATAATAATAATTATTATTATAATTATTAAATAAATCGACGTATTGATCGATCTCAATACGTCACACTCCCCTAACAAAACTATTGTTATCCTTTTGGACACAATAGTAACACTATTTCTCAAGATTTATCTCAAATCTATGCCAAATGGGCCTGTCTTATGCCTGAAGGGCTATCAATTCCCGACCATAAGGGCTAAAATCCCTGCTTTATGAGCACTAATATTTGCATACGCAATTAAGTTGCCTGACTTAATTATCTCATTAATTAGTCTCTTAATCCTAAACCTATCGACCGAACCCTTACATGATAGTTTTAAATTGGTTACATTGTTATTTGAGCGATTCAATACATGTTTTCGTAAATAAACCTGTGTCCTTGGTTCTGGCCTAGTCTTCTGGTCTTTTGAGTGTGGAATCACCACCCACCCAAGTCTCTCCTTGCTGAATATTGGGGAACCATCGTTTGGCCACCCCAGTCTGGCTCTACCATATGCCATCCTTCAGGCGTGGTTTGACCCAAATGAGCCCCGGGCATGGTCCTAGGATGATAGTTCTGGACAGGGACCAGTTGGTTCTTAGGCATCGGTGGTCCCATGTCCCCTACGGAGGCCAAAGTGTCGACCGAGTAGGCGCAATTCAGCATTCCCGAGGGTCTTTCTGGTTTCAGGATTTCGGTAATAGTGGCCGTGGGAGCGGGCCTCGCTTTTCTCACTATTGACCTCATCGGGAGGTATACTTCCTGAGTTGCCTGATGACTTGAGTGCCTTGGCAGCTCTCTCTCGGGTGATGGTGTTCTGGTTGGTCCTTGGTGGGTCCTTCTAGTACCTGAACAGACCCCAAGCACCCGACACAACATAGCGACCCTTGACCATAAGGAAAATTTCCAGATTATTCCTGCTAATATACCGAAAATCCCCAATGAAATTCCCGTCAATCCTAGTCCATTTTCTAATCTCTGTAACCGCCTACTAGTCTGTTTTTGTTTACTTAAGGCCTTGGCTTTATTAATGATCGTCTGTAGCCCTAAGCTGTCTCGTCTCATATTCTCTTCGTCGTTCGGCCCTGTCAGTACTGTCAGTGGAAAGGTTGCGTCGTCTATTAATTCTGTCAAATTTCCCTCTCCGGTGCTACGCAACGTTTCATTTATTAGGTTGGGAATATCTACGACGGCTTTATTCGTGAATTTAGTGTCAAACTCGGTCATTATTTCCATGAATGGAACGAGGGTGACCTGCCGAGACCGGGCTTCGCATTCCGAGGAGAGCAATATTTTTCCTGTTCCTGAAATACTGACGGAAACCGGTTCTTTTCGTGAACAACTTATTCTCAGTTCGTCTTCCGTCACGACAGAGAATACCCAGGAATTGGAATTTTCTATCTGTGCCCAGTAGGTCTGAGTCATTGGTTTCATCCGTACATCGCATATCTCGGAGCCCTTAAATTTGGAATTGGTGATCATTTGTACTTCGCAATCTTTATTATTATTTATTTCATATATTGGACGTGTTGTTCTGCATAAGAGTTCCATAGATCCTCTTTTGCAGCGCTTGACATCGTCGTTACTCAGTTTGAAATATGTATTTACTCGTTCCGAGATAGCCGTGTAGGGATGACTAGGGGTTATGACGGCGACTAAGGGCATAGTTGTATTCCCGACTTTCATTGGTAAGGCAATGTGTTTATAAACCGTGTATCTCATCA